TTCGGCCTCCCAAAGTGCTGGGATTACAGACTTGAGCCATCACACCCGGCTGATAATGACTTTTGTAATCAGAAATTGTTATTAAAAAGGCTAAACAACAATAACACTAGCAGCAAGAATAAAAATCCTGCGTGTCTTGAGTGTGTGTTTATGCCGAATCTTTGTTTTATTTGCACTGCGCTAAGGTTTGAATATTTGGGACTTCCAAAACTCATGTTGAAATTTAATTGCCATTGTAGCAGTATTAAGAAGCGAGACCTTAATGAGGTTATTAGGCCATGAAGGCTTCATGCTCATGGGTGTGGTTGGTGCCAGTATAAAAGAATGAGTTTGGCCCCCTCTTGTTCTTTCTAGCCTTCTTTCTTTCCACCATGTTATGACATAACAAGAAGGCTCTCACAAGATGCTGATACCTTGATTTGGACTTCCCAGTCTTCAGAATTGTTAACTAATACATTTCTGTTCATTATAAATTACCCAGTCTCAGACATTCTGTTATGGCAGCACAGATTAGACTAAGATATGCTACTCTACATTTTCCAGATAGTTCTAATTTAAATTCTTGTTGAGCTCCCATAGAACCTTGTACATACTCCAATCTCCCACATTGCTGTACTTGAATTCTTTGTTTAGGTGTCAGTTTCCTTACATATTTATAAGCTATTATTATCCTGGCTACTTCATATAGTGGCATATTAAAATATTTAATGAATGACATATCCATCGAGATCCTGACTTTAGAAATAGTATTCCTAAGGACCATTTTAATTCCACAGTCACTAATATGATTGAAGGAATCCCATTTTCTATACTAGTTAGTTATTGTTGCAGTTTTTTGTATTCTATTTGAAACCAAATCTTCTTACGTCTCCAATTGTTTTCTCTTTTATATTAAAATATTCATAAACCATATTTAGCATTTCTATTTTCTATCCAATATTATTATTCCATATAAAACATTACATCCCAATTTTACATGAAATTTAGTATTACATTCCATATAAAAAATAATTTAATAATCCTCCTCTGAAAAATGCATCAGAAATTTGACCACACTGCCCCTTAGTATGATTTCATATCATTAGTGGGTTTCATGGACATTTTTATAACTTACCAAAATAGTTTATAATCTAAGTTTCAAGGCTCCTCCCGGGAAGTTTTGAGCCCATTTCCTTAGCAGAGTTGTAAATGAGAGTTTAAAAGGCAATGAAAAGTGTGTGAACTATTGGACAGCTTCTTGGTACTGCTGTACATAACACACCTGCTGGCTTCTTACAGCTTCTGACCACTTCTATGAGCCTGGCTTTGGTGGTAGCAGAGGCTAAAGTAGCCTGGTGTCTTTCATCAACAGCCTCCAGATGGATACCTGTAGAACACTTCAAAATAGTTATATAGATGTTTTCATGTGGTTCGACTGAGAGAAGAATTAGTGGTACTGTACAACGCATCTCCCAGAGAAAGTATTAATGAGTAATTCTATAAACAGGGAAGCCAACCAGCTTCTGACTTCCAGACATTATCAAGAATCTGAACTGCAGAGGACATTTAAAGTGGCAACTGGAGGCCCCTTTAATCCCCTATCCTCCACATTCTTCTTTTATTTGCTTGTATATCTCATTAGAGAATCATCAGTTAAGACCGAGATCATAGTAAGGTATATAAGATATTACACAGTTTTAGTCTTGAAAATAGTACCTAGGCTTTCTAGGCCTCAGCTATAAAAGTAATGATAATAATAAAAACAGTAATAACAGCAAGTAAAATTTATTGAGGATTCACTATGTCTCAGGCGCGACTCTAAGTGCTTGACATGTATTACTTCATTTTATTTATTTGTTTGTTTATTTATTTATTTTTTGAGACGGAGTCTCGCTCTGTCGCCCAGGCTGGAGTGCAGTGGCCTGATCTCAGCTCACTGCAGGCTCCGCCTCCCGGGTTCACACCATTCTCCTGCCTCAGCCTCCCGAGTAGCTGGGACTACAGGCACCCACCACCTCGCCTGGCTAGTTTTTTGGTTTTTTTTTTTTTTTTTTTTTTAGTAGAGACGGGGTTTCACCGTGTTAGCCGGATGGTCTCGATCTCCTGACCTCGTGATCCGCCCGTCTCGGCCTCCCAAAGTGCTGAGATTGCAGGCTTGAGCCACCGCGCCTGGTCTACTTCATTTTATAAAATGCTTTCCTCATGCAGTTTGTTGTTAGAATTAAGAGAAATGACCCAGGCAAAGTTCTTAGCACAGGGCCTTACCAATAATACTGAGTTTTCAGAAAAGTTAGCTGTTTTTTAATTGTTACTATACTTAACAACAACAACAATAATAATAAATGCCTCCTGTTCCAAATAAAACTCTAAGAGGCTTTTTAAATTTCTTGGTTTACAGATGAAGCCCCAAGGCTTTGTAACATCCCAGAATGACCAACAACCCAGCTCAGTGCCTGGCACAAATTAAGTGGTCAACAAATATAAAAACAATTAATATCCTAACTTATATAGATTCGTTTGCAAGTAGATTTTGCAGAGAAGAGAGTGTGTAGTTTTCTTTCAAGTCTCAAAATAGTACATGGTCTAAGAAATAAAAAGAACCACTGCTTGAAAAGAGAATTTGTCACTGCATGAATAACAAGGTCTAATAAGAATCATGAGGAAGTGGAGAGGAAAGATGTGAGTAGGTCTGGCTCCCCACCCTAAGAAGGTTTGGAACAGCCTTGTGATGTTATTCTCTGGGCTGGCAGTTCAGGATTGTTTCCTCTCCCCACCTGGAAATTCCCATTTGCCTTCTGAGGCCATTTACATAAGACTCTGTGGGATTACTGGCTGTACATCTAGGCTTGAGTGGAGTGATTGGATGCCAGATAATTTCGTTCTGGTTTTGTAGGAATCATAGAATGTTAGCACTGGAAAGAACCTCATACATAATCTATTTAAGGGTTTTCAAATTTATAGCAGATGTGTTACCATTCCCCTTCTTGCACCCATGGAAGATATCTCTAATTAGGGATGACACTCTTCACTTCTGTGTCTTTTGAATCCTTCTTAACATAACGTTGCATGGAAGCATTACCAATAGATTGAAATTAGCATGCACAGGGGAAACAGTTTTCCATCACTATCACATGTCCAATATCCTCCCATTACAGCTGGGAAAATCAACGAGATGACATTTGGTAAGTCTGTGAACTACCAAATAATTACTGTGAAGTGAGTGATATAATGTTTTGAGGCATTAATGATTGTGACTTCAAACTACAAACATTTTAGTACCAAATACAATTTTATTTGCCACTGTTATTTTTTCCTCATTTTTTTAGAATAAAGAAGGAAACTATTTTAAGTGATCATTAATCTTCTTTCTACACACAGGTCTAAAAAGCAACAAAAGTGGGGCCCTGAGTAACAAAAAGAAGTTATAAGTGATTTTAAGTACAATAAGTTAAGCAAAATTTCAGACATTCGACCACTCTCTCTCATTTCTCAGTATTCTTAAAAATATTAGTACGGGCAAGTCCTGTACTTAAATTTAAGAGACTAGGGGCTGTTATAACTGACGGAAGATAAGTCACTTAGCCTTTCCCAGCCTCAGTTTCCCCTACAGTAATAGAAAGATATTAGACAGTTCATAGGAATGGAAAACTTGTTTTCTTATTCAAGGGAGAGGAGAAAATAAATGTCTGTTGAACAGAAGAATATGAACATTATTTATTTTCGTGTGTGTGTGTGTGTGTGTGTGTGCATCTGTGCATATATGCAATAAGAAAGCATATTTAAGGTGAGAGTAAGAATTGGCTAGGGAAAGATACTAAATAAAGTGCATCTCCACCTTTTAAAGCCATTAATTAAATAATGTAGACCTGGCTTCAAAATTAAACATCATTGTAGTTTATAACTTAGTTTGGAATGCTTGCTCTGCATAAGGGTATAGGGTATGAGCCTTGTCAGAAACTTTTCCAACTGAGTTTATGAGAAAAAATGGAGAAAATTTGAGTCTTTAAGCAGACCTATAGGGATCAAATTTAAAATTCTGGCAATGGCTAGATTTTTGTTTTCTTGTGAGGATGCTGGGTGACTATGGAGAGAATTGCCAAACATGTGGCTATTCCCCTGCCTTCTTTATCATATACTCTAAGTAAACTGGCTTAAATCCAGTTTACTGGCTTAAATCTCTCTCCTTTTGCATTGGCCCCTTTTTGAAATATGGAAGTTACAGATGTAAATTACAAAGTAAGCCAGTATTATATGAAAACATGTTTATTGCCTGAATTATAAAACTTAGCTAAGGAGTTATTAGAATTAGAATTCCCCCTACTTGAAGTACAAGTTTCCAATAAACAAACAGAAGCAAAACCCCAAATGAGAAAGAATACATTGGTAACCTAAATCATAGGCATCTGGGGTATGTTCAAACAATCTGACTACTTCTTTGTAATTTACTATAGCACTGATGACAAAGCATAGACATACAATGAGAAAGAGCAAATCAGCATATCAGTGTGACTGTGCAACCACTACAAAGCTTGGCCTTCTTAAATGTGACCACTTTAACTTACACACACCCACAGAGGCACCAGAAATCTCCCTGCAAACGCGATTTGCCTATAGTTTTGTGGCAATACTGTTACAAAAAACAAAAACAACTCTCAGACCATGGTTAATAAATAAGAGAGAAAAGAAGTAACAAACAGCTTCCATGGGTTGGCAGGCATGCAAAGCAGCACCTTGAACCTCATTTGAAAAACAAGCAACTCAGATAGCTTTTGGAGCCCAGGAGTGAAGGCTAGAGGCTAAAAGGAGCTACGCACTATTATGTTTGGGTATTTCCACATAATCTGCAGGATGGGGAAGTTTCATTCCCCACCACATACAACTGTGCTCTTTTAGATGTGGCTGAAACAGGTATCTCTGCAGAATTAGAAAGCCATCTAGAAATGACATTGCTTAAAATTGTTCTTTCCAGGTGACAGTTCTGTAACAATCACATAAATAATGTACAAAAACAAAACTAAAACAAAATCACTCGTCTCCAATTTTTCTCTTTTTAAAGATGACCTCAGATTTGTTCTCAAAGTGCAAATCTAGATATAAAAAAATAGTAGGTATGGGGGAAATGTAGCCCCATCTTCTGTCCCCCACCCTCCAAAGCGGGGCTGATTGGATTCCCTCTCTCTAGCATTTGTACCCTTCCACCTATACTTTAAGATAATCATTTTTCAGCCGGCCCAGTCGGGTCCCATGGCTCCTAATGGTGAGAGCCAGCAGCTCGTATTTGTCCCTGAGCCCCACAGAGATGTCCAGCGTCTCCTTCAGCAGGGACCTGGTGTGGACCAGCATTCCCAGAAAGTCCTCGTTGAGCCTGCTCTCCTGCCGGCTGTCCTGTTCCTGGCCCTGCTTGAACTTGCTCTCCAGCTCAGTGAGGGATTTGTCCGAGTTGGAGTAGGCATCCCCGATCTGGTGGGACTCCCGCCGCAGGTACTTGCCATAGCTCTCTTCCCCGTCTAGGTCGTAGGAGATGCTTTTGCTGATGCCCTCCAGCACGCGCCCAGCATCCTCCACCTGGCGGCCCAGCACGGTGAACTCCTCCCGCAGGGTGAGGCTCAGCAGGTTGCCGGCCTGGCTCCCCTCCCCCTGGGAGCAGCGCCTGTGGTCACTCACCCTGAAGAGCAGCTGGCACTTCTCGGGGTCATCGTTCTCCTCATAGTCCCCATCCGGCACGAAGTAGTGGTGCAGAGTCCCATTGGACATCTCTGGGTAGAGGGGGCCGTCGAAGTAGCCTTGACACAGGTGGCAGAAGAAACTCATGCAGAGGAACTTCAGAAACACCATTCTGGATATTCAGGATGGCCAGGGACCCCAGGAGGAGACTTATCACCCAGGCACAAGGAAGGGAGTGTCTTTGCGAGTCAGCGTCTCCCTGAGACAGCGTCCGCCTCAGTCCCAGCCGGCTTGCTGCTCCCTGGCCCCCAGTCCCCAGCAGGCTTCATGTGGCTCTGCACACCAGCGTCTGGGTAGCGCGGCCGCCACAGCGCAGGATGCACCCACCCTTGCGCCCCTCGCTCGGTGGCTGGAACTCCTCCGGCACAGGCGTAGCGGGGAACCCCTCCTCCGGGGGCGCTGGCAAGATGCTGGCTCTGTAGCACTCCTCTCGGAGTTTCCCCTTGCTCCCGGGAGATGGAGTGTGTAGCTGGAGAGAAAGCCTCTTGCCCCCTGATAGTATTTCAATTTCTGGACTGGGTGGGAATGCGGAGCTTTTCCTTTGGCTAAAGATATCCTGAGGATCTCTCTGCTCTCAGATTACAGCCGGTTTCGTCACTTGGAAGCCAGGGAACAAGTTTGGAAAGAAACCTCTCACCAGGTCTCCGCTATTAAAGGTACAGGATCACTTTTTAAAGATTGAAAGGGAAGACTCTACAATAGAATTCAGCTCGAAAGAGAAAATGAGAAGAGAATAAATGGAATTTCTACCACACACACACACACAAAAGCGGTTTGTTATCGACATACCGGGAAGGGGAAAGAATGATTACCCTGGAAAAATGCCATTTCACGTGTCTCAATAAATATGAGTTAGGTTGGATTTTTTGAGTATATCTGTTTTTATCTTTAAAAGTTTGTGACTTTGAAGGCAGATTTAAAATGTCAGAAATTACAGTTTTGTTTGAAAATGATTGGTTAATTAAAATTGATATAAACTATACTTTGGATGAAATGAAAATACAGAAAGTTGTTTAATGTATAGTCATTAGTATGTATAAGAACAGAAGCTGAAAAATGAAATTTTGCCAGCTTAGTAAGTTAAAGGACAATGAGATCCTTATTTAATTTTATGAAACAATGCTAAGCATCTGCATTGAATCTTGAACCTAATACTTTTATAGTTGTTGCCTCTTTTGAGATTCTTGAAAGCTTTTGAAGAATGTTTCCGGTACTATTGTGCCCATTTTCCAGATGGAGAAATGAAGGAGCAAAATGTTAAGTGAATTGATTATAGTCACACAGTTAGACTGTAGTTGAGCCAGAACTAATTGTCACAAGGTCTTTTAATTTAACTTGGGGGAAAAAAACCAATTTTTTTAACCTGGCCATTTTAATTTCTAATTTATGAACTGATTGGCAAATGGTCATTCTAAAGGTCATTCATTTGTTTAATGAATATTTCTTGAGCATTTACTGTGTGCCAAAATCTATTTTAGGTACTGAGGATACAGCCGTGAACAAAAATAAAGACAAATCCTTGCCTTCCTGGCGCTTACATTCTGGGAAATAGAAAACTTAAATTTGTGAAAATAGGTCGGGCATGGTGGCTCACGCCTGTAATTCCAGCACTTTGGGAGGCAGAGGTGGGTGGATCACTTGAGGTCGGAAGTTCGAGACCAGCCTGACCAACATGGTGAAACTCCATTTTTACTAAAAATACAAAAAAATTAGCTGGATATGGTGGTGCATGCCTGTAATCCCAGTTACTCAGGGAGCTGAGACAGGAGAATTGCTTGAACCCAGGAGAGGGAGGTTGCTGTGAGCCTAGATCGCATCACTGCACTCCAGCCTGGGTGACAGAGTGAGACCTTTTCTCAAAAAAAGAGAAATACGTAAATAAATAAGATGTATGTTGGACATCAATAGGGCTGTTGAAGAAAGGAAACAGGAAGCATGGGAAAGCAGAAGCAGGCAGCGGTCCTCTTTCTATGGGTATTTTCTCCTTCTTCCTTGAAATGTAACTGAAACATTCATGTTGACTTGCCATTGTTCCATACCTCCCTCCCTCCCCGAGTAATAAGGGACTGGCTTCATTCAGACTCACAGTGCCATACTGTTCGGGGACTGTTATACTCATAGTCATCACTTTCATGGATATAAGCAACCCAGACTCCTGCAGAGAAAATGAGAAGTCTGGTTAAGTAACTTGATATTTTGCTGATGTGGTATCATATGCATAGAGTTTCTGAAGCATGTTGACTGCACATTTTCATTCTTATCCAGATATTTAGCATCATGAAAACATTGACCAAAGGAGTTTTCCTAATGTTTATGCCAAGTGGAAGACCAGGGCCTATTTTCACTCTATCCCTGAAGAAAACTAACTTCCTTCAGTTGAAAGACTGAACTGTTGGACTCAAGAGCTACATTGCTTCATTCCTTTTTCTCTGGGACATTCAGAAATGACAACAGATGGGTTCATATTGGCTGCTTGGCCGAAGAAGAGAAGAGGAATTTACTCTGATTCATTCCATTTCTTGCACAATCTCTCTCTGACTTACTAACAAATTCAATTAAGCAAACCTATATTAAGCACTTACTACCTGCTCTGCACTTGCAGGGTGCAGTGTTAAAGTAACTACAGATACAAAGATGTGCAATAAGAAGTTTAAGCCTACAAAGAGCTTGCTCCGTGGTGGGAGAGTAGGGCATATGCTCACGTAAAGTTATCATAGGACGGGCGAAGAGTGTTTACTTTCTTCCTGCAATGACCTCATCTAAAGATACACACTCCATGTTGTGTATTAGAAAGGAATCATTTTGGTACAAATAACTAAAAGTCCACCTCAGTCTAACTAAGGGCATTAACTTACAGAAAGCCTTAGATTAGATATTCAGAGAAGGCTTTGTCCAACCTAGTTTTTCTCTCACTATTTCTTGGTTCTATGTCCTTGGCTTATATTCATGCATGGGCAGTCTTTTGTTTATGTTCTAAGATGATTACCAGTGTCTTCCAGGGCTGTGTGCTTCTTTATTCATATGTAACAGGAATGACAGATTGGATTTCCTGGTAGCTCAAATGCAGCTCCCTCAAATCAGCTTCAGTGGTCATAGTTGGCCTGATTTGGATCATGAATATGTCTTCAAACCAGGCTTCCTGTAGTGAGGTTTGGGATTACAACACTTTGCTTAAGACAATAAGCTTGAAGCTGAAGGCAAGGTATCATGCAGACTATGTGGCTAGGTGATTTAGTGTTCTGTTAAGGAAAGGAACAGTATGGGAGTACATTCTGGGGAAGTAACCATGAATAATTCCCCTACCTTACAGTTTTGTCTTCATTATCCACATCCAAGAGAAACTGTCACCCTTGCTGATAAGTGTTGACCAGCTGGGTGTGTGGAGGAAAACACCCTGATTTGTAGTATTTGTTGATTTCCTTAGTCTAAATACTCTCACAGTGGCTAATTGAACTCAAAGTTGGGAAGACAGCACAGTAGTACACCATTATATAATATTCCCATCAAACAGATACATTAGATGCAAGTAACCCGAAAAGAATAAAAAATAGTAAAAATCTGGTAAAATAATTAAGAAGTGATTAGTTTTGCATATATATTCCCTTTATTTTAACATAGCTTAGTTAAAAGTTTAAACAGTTTGTTTGTTTGTTTATTTATTTATTTATTTATTTTGAGACATGGCCTTGCTGGGTTACCTAGGCTGGAGTGCAGTAGCATGATCACAGCTCACTGCAGCCTCAACCTCCGAGGCTCAAGTGATCCTCCTGCCTCAGCCTCCTGAGTAGCTGGGAGTACAGGTGTGCACCACTATGCCTGTCTAGTTTTTGTCTTTTCTTTTGTGGACACAGGGTTTCATGATGTTGCCCAGGCTGGTCTGGAACTCCTGGGCTCAAGAAATCTGCCTGCCTTGGTCTGCAAAGTGTTGGGATAACAGGCATGAGCCACTGCACCCAGCCAGTTTATTTTTAAATAATGTCCATGTTTAACAACTGACTTGGAAAGTAGCACAACATGGCCTTTTGATTAAACGCTTCATGTTCACTTTTAAAATGTTTTTAGTTCTATGTTGTTCCTACGTGCCCAAGTCCATCTTGGACTGCTAAGGTTAGAACTGAGGTGGGTTTCTGAGGATTGACCTAGAATGAATAAAGCCAGAGGAAATGTCTAAACATGGAGATGCCAGACAGAGGACTTTGTAAGAGCCCTCTTGAAGAGTAAAATCAAGAAGCACTGTCCACTCAAAGGACAGTATTAGAGTTGAGTCTAGGGCTGAAAACCAGGGACCAAATTAAAGGACAGAAACTGGATGCATTTAAGGATAAAGGAGGACCTCAAGAGTAGTGGCCACAGTTGTGTAAGTAAATAGGTGAGCATCATTGCCCAATTCCAGCTGCTTATATGTGTGTAAACACTACTACACAGTGCCAGCAAAATTTACTAGCTCAAGAATTACTTATCCTTTATCATTTTCAGTGTACTTTAAAATTTTCTTTAGATCATTTATCACTTTAGAGAAGAAAGTAGAAATTTAGGTTGGAATTATGAGTCTAAAGATCTATGTGACAGATCTTTAAATTCTGTGACTTCTCCTTGTCAAAGGCTTTTGTGATCTATTTACTATTTCTGATTATTGTAATAGTATAACTTTCATAGAAAAGAGTATAAGGAGGTTTTGGGGAGATTAGGTTGCACTATGCAGCCTAGAAACCCAAAGGGGAGATGAAAGTTCTCATTCTCAAGATTCCCTCAAACTGTCAGGTTGAGTCCCTGAACCATGTCAAAGGAGAAAACGAAAAACACAATGAAAACAAAAAACACAACAAAAACAAATAGTGCTATTCTAAACCAGAATAGGCGTCCCAAGGTGGGAGGAGAGATGAAAGCAAGAAGAGAGGGGGAGATAAGGGGAAGGACATAGTACTTAGCACTTTGGGGATTAAAAAAATCAATTAATAGGTAATCAGCATTTACTGAGCAGACATTGTTTCTAGAAGGTGGAAAGGACAGGGGGGAACAATGGATAAAAGAAAGAAAGAAAAGCAAGAAGTAGGAAGAAAAGGTAGCGAGGAAGGAAGGATAAATGGAAAGTAGAAAAGAAAGGGGAGAGTGAAATAAATTTTGATTATTTAGTCTGTGCTTTTTGTTACGTTAACTCAGTGAAGTGAATATAATTATTTACTACAAGAACATTGGTTAGAGGCGGAGGGAGAATTAATTAAAAAGAATAATCACAAACAAACTTCCTATCAAATATAGACAATAAAACACACCTATGAAGACAATGAGAATGCTTGCAAGGAAATAAGTATAACGTGGGAAGGCAGTCTGACCAATTCTCACAACCTTTCTGTATTAGTGAGAATATCAGAATATGCTTTGATATGCCATGATAACAGATGTCACAAAAATGCTAACATCAAATTCTAGTTCACTGCAGATCAAGGTAACTCAGCAACTTTCCTCTGTGTAGCAGCTCTGATGCACCATCTGCAATGTGGGACCTCCTCGGTTGGTTCAGCAGGGG